CCCTTCTTGTGTCAAGTGGCAAAAAGATTAAAACCCTTCCTCCTTTCCCGTACGGCACACCGCGTGGTCTAAAGCGTAAAAGAGACAATCAAGCAATTTATGTGAAGTAGACAAAAATATTGGGATACCGAAAGAAATTGAACAAAACCAATGGATGAAGGGAGTAATCGAATTTGGGCTAGAGAATTACTGAAAAGCTTGGGTATAAAACACTTACTTTTGAATGATATTATTCAAATGGAAAGCCATAAAATCCAAATTTGGACTGTATGAAATATTGAAATTAGGTCTTGCAGTCACACAATAAGACAGCCCAATTGCTAGACAACATTACTCATTTTTTCTCTCTCGAAAACAACTAGACAACACTACTGGGTACACAAGAAATCAGATTCCTGAATTTGAACATTTTAAAGATTTCATATTATGACTGAAATTCACATGGGAAAATGAAATGGAGACAGCCACATCAAGGGAGACATATTATACGTAGTGAGATACAAAGCCAAGCTGCAGGGCAAGCACCACCGATTGCTTCACGTGCTCGCAAGCATACTGATAATTATAAATTTCTGCAATTCTTCAGTTAGGGACAAAAGAACAAACCAACATTGAGCAAAAATCAGTCAACAAAAAAAGGTTAGCCCTGCAAGGGAAACTTATAAGCTCTGGAAGAAAGAGTCACCATACCATTGCTGATTCTTTCTGAACTCCGTAAGGACAGGGTATATGTTCTCAAAAGCAGTGTACGTCTCTTCCCGCACCTAAAAAGTGGAAGGATGGTGGGGGGGTGTTCAAACCCCAAAGTTAGACTTCGGCACTAATAATTTCCTACCAGGGAAAAAGAATGTCTCACCTTTGCTCCTGTGAGGACAATTTTTCCAGACACAAATATGAGAAGCACAATCTTCGGTTGCTTCATCCGGTAGATCAAGCCTGGGAAAAGTTCCGGTTCATACTGCATTGACACAAAGAACATGAAATCACACAACTGAAAGTATGTAAATGTTCCATTTGAAGAATTTGGGTGGTTGGGCAGTGGTTGGATCCCAACATTTGATACTCACGCTTGAAAAGGCACCGTGGGAATAGGCTAACCCCTCTAGTCTGATGGGAAACTTCACATCACAGGAGCCAACGATGTTTTGAATCTTAAAATCCTGCAGAAAAACGACCAACAAAGTGTCACGAAATCCTGTGTGGCTATGTGCATTGAATGAATTACATGCTGGATTTAGTCATTCGACTGTACTCTGTTACTCAAATTAGTCCTTGACAACCTTTTAGATTAAATTTGATCCTCAACCACAGATTTAGAGTTCAGACCAAATTTAGTCCCTAATTTCTTTTTAGACTAACAAGGAGATTTTTCATCCCAATTTACAAAGTTTAAGAGAAAATCAGGTCCTTAATTAGTTAACTGGGCTTAAATTTAGTGAACAGATGGCAATGGCCTTCTAACTTAGAGCTAAAGATGCATGACAACTACATTGTGTCCAACCCGCATAGTAAAGGGCCAAAGTAAACCCCAAAACAGTAGATAGCCAAATTCAGTGCAAGTGTGCGGGAGGAGCAAATTCATGCATTAGCTCTGCACTGAAATGTGTAGAAGAGAACCATTATTTTCTAATCTGAGCACAAGAGACACGTACCTTAAATTTTGCAGCGAACCCAAGCTTCTGAATGATACGAGCATACTGAAATACATGAGGCGAGAAAAATCAGTGAAGCTTATGGCATGCCAAAAACTTTGGGATCAAATTTTTCCATAGAGCCTCCTGATTTATGGATGGGGTGCTTTGTTAAATCATAAAATCATAAAGGAGCTAGTAATTTTATTAGGTAATATCCATAATCATCAGAAGTGACTGAGAGCCTTTTGCAAAAATACTTCCTCTGCCCCATTTGAATCTTCACCTTCATTTTTGGTCTTTCCTACAATAACCTTTCTCTTTCCTTTAAAGAGATGTGTAATAAATAATTTTTCTTTCCTGTTGAAATACATCTCAGCCACAAAGTTTCATTTTCTTAGTAGACTTTGCACCAACCTGAATTGAGAAGATTAGATAAGAACAGTGTGAGCATTTGTAAATTGTCACAATACCTTCCTAGCTGCAAGCCTAGATTGTTCTTCACTCTTTGCTCCAGTGCAAACCTAATTGCAGACAATGCAAAAAAGATTTGGATAACTAGAGAATGTGCAAGTACGGAACAAACTCTTGAGTAAAGGAAACTAAGGAATAGATATGAGAGTGATTTACCATCTTTCCAGATGCAAAGATCAAAGCCGTAGTTTTTGGCTCTCTTATCCTCATGATAACAGCAGCGAAACGCTGATTTTTACCAAAACATCGGTAAAAGTAAAAAAAATCATATTCATAATAATAAAAGCAGCTTCATTTAAGAGTGGATCAAGTAAGCATAAACCCCAAAAGAAAATTCTGTCAAAAATACTTAAAAATCAGTTCATAAATTTATAAAATTATACTCCATCAGTCCCTCTTTTTGATGTCCCCTTTACTTTTTGGGTCAAACCTAACTAATCTTTCCCTAAAGAAAAAATTTTGTGGTCCAAATTGATTGTTTAGTTTCTAAATATATCTCAAACACAGTTTTATTTCTTAAACACCATGCAAAGTGAAATGGGGGATATAAAATAAGGACAGATGGATTAAAAAAATCAATTTTTATATGTTCAGTACCTTAGGATTGTATTCAGCATTGCGAGCTTGCAACGCAATTGCTTTAAGATCCAATTTACAGTCCAAGTTGACAGTTGAAACTATATTCCTGGAATAGGAAGTAGCTCAAAGATAGATGTCACATCAACTGCATAGTAATAAATACATGCAATTCATTCTTCTGCAAAGTTTAATACACTATCCACACATAACACTATAACAGTATCACTAACATGTCTATATTGTCAGGGTTGCCTTATCTTCTGCAGTGTAATTCATTAAAATCTGCAAATAATACACTCTCTCTGTCCCAAGTTAATTTTCCCACTTTAATTTCACGAAGACTAAGAACAGTGTTGAAAAGTTAGTGGTTAAAATTTGTTTAGAAGAGAACTTTTTGGACCATACAATAAGGGAAAGAGAAAAAGTGGGAAAATTATATAGGGGCATCTGCAAAAGGAAAGTAGTAAAACTTTTGTGTGGCACAGCGCATAATAAAAATGAGGTTCTACGAACAGTTGCCCTTATTTAGGTAAAATATTGCAAAGAGGGCCCGATGTGACAATGAGTTTGAGGGAATAACTCCAAGGTTCATGTGGCTCGGAAATGGGAACTGTGGCCCTTAATTTGTACTGTAAGTATTGCGGGGTGAGAATCTGGTACCAACATGTGATTTTCGGAAGAAATTGCATATTATCCACAAAAATGCTCTCCAGCTCTAACTTCAGTTCATACCAAGTGAAAGAGATACCAGTATACCACGGCTGAGATTTACCAAGTGAAAGACATAGCATACCACCGTAGCTCATTAAAAGAAGAATCTAATACTCTAATCCGCAATAACCATCCTCTTCTGCTGATAAGTGATGCATTAAAGCACAAGTCCAAGACTATACATAAAGTTTTTTGTAGATTGATAAGCTTCACTTCAAAATAGTGTGTGCTCTCATGTGCACTTCAAGGACTTCAAGCCATGATGACTCAAGGTACTTAGCATTCCAAACTACTACAGAAGTCATTATTTATACCCAATACAGTGCAAATGATTTTAGTACTGCAATCCCGAGACAGTTTTATACTAAACCTACAGTAAGAGCAAATTAAACATGGCTGGGGACAGCCGTGACAAGTCCCAAATATCAATCAGTACCCTGATTGCAGAGTAAGAAGCTCATGATTGACTCTTTTGTCTTTACAATTATATTATCAACTAGTTCACTGGAAAAAGTCCAGACCCTACTCACGGTGGTATGCTCTCTTTCACTTTGCAGATTTGATCCGTGTGAGAAAGTCAGGAAGAAGACCTAAAGCTGAAGGACATTTTGGGAATAATATGTGAAAATAAAATGTTGGCACCGAATTGTCACCCCAAAATGCATACAGTAATTACAATTTAAGGGCAACTATTTCCAATTCAAAGCACAGGGACCCTTCAGTTGTTCCCGCATTATCATCGTCAACTGAGCAATATTTTCTGTTTAGGCTGTAGTATTTCTCATTTAGGGTGTATGTACAGTAGGGCAGTTTCACCCTTAGCTAGTTGTCAACTTGTCATTCATCTAACAGAATCTAAAATAGGCTACAAGGGCCTACAACACACTATCAGATACTGTTGACTACGATAACTGCAACATAGCCAAGTCAATTTGTAAAGTAGTTGCCTCTATTACCGGTTTTTTTTGTAAATTGCCAGTGGCGTAGAGTCAAATCATCTCTCCATGTTGCGTGTTGCAACCCAAAATTTAGTCCACTTATTACAAGCATCTTTCAAACTAGACGCACTCAAAGAAACTGCATCACATCAGCTCAAATCCATCTTTTCAAAATCTTTACACTGTGTTTGGTTCAAGTAATTTGAAAGGAAAAAGAAGAGAAAATGAGATGGAAAACAATTTTTCTTGTTTGGTTAGAGAGGATACCCGTGAGGAACTAAATGACATGTTGAAACTTTGGCGCCTTTCCGTGGAATCCAAAGGTTTCAGACCAAGTACGACTTAGACTGAATACGTGGAATGTATGGTTTCGTGGGCAAGTGACGGAATTAGAGGTGAGGACTGATTCCACTCAGTGCCCAAGGTTGACAAGTTTTGGTATCTTGGTTTGGTCTTTTAGGCGGATGGAGAGTTGGATGGGGATGTTGCGCATCGTGTTGGAGCAGCTTGGGCAAAGTAGAAATTGGCTTCAGGGGTTATGTCCGATAGGAAGATTTCAGATAGGATGAAAGGTAATTTTCATTGGTCCATAGTCAGGCCAACTATGTTGTATGGTGAAGAGTGCGGGGCAGTTAGCGATGTTATATGGTGCAGAGTGCTGGGCAATTAAGAAGACCCGCGTTAGCCGACTGCATAATGCAGAGATGCGGATGTTGAGGTGGATGAGTGGAAAGACGAGGATAGATAGGATTCAAAATGAGATTATCTGAGGACAGGTAGGAGTGGCACCTATGGAGGATAAACTGCAGGAAACCAGATTGAGGTGGTTTGAGCATGTGTGTTGAGGCCCTACTGCGGAGGTGTGAGAGGCTTACAGTGGTGAGTGAGAGTGATGTGACCCCCACGAGACTTTCCGTGGTAACCGACACCGCAAGTTGAATATTCCGGTAACAAGACTTTTCCGAGAACAAGCGCGATAACTTACGTACCTTTACAACGTTTCCCGTAACAATACGTAAGGGTGATTTTACAACTCACGAGTTGATGACTTTTGCACCTCTACGAGACTTGCCGTAGCAACACGAAAGGTGTGATTTACTATAAATTAAGATAAAGAATTTATCTTAACTAAAAAAATACCCCACAAATTTGTTTGAAAACTCTCAAACACTCAAATATATTCACTTCAATATGTTCAAACTCTAGATGCTTTACAAATGGAGAACCTATGCCTATTTATAGGAAATAATTAACACTAAGCTACAAGCTAATTAAATAAATTAAAATTACAAGTATCAATTAAAATCCTTGCAAATATTCTTGAATGATCTCCCAAGATGTTGCCCTTCAACCACCAAGAACTTCCAAGAGAGATTAGCTTATTTTATCCATCCTTGTCCCCTAATTACCATGTAATGACAATGATAATTACCCTTGGTAAAATCCCTCATATTGAATCAAAATAATCTCCTTTGGAATTTTGCTCAAACAATATTCATCAAGGGTTAATGTGATGTAATCATGTGGAAGATTGCATTCAAGTTAACAAGTCATGGGTGGTTAGGATTAGAAAGGAAATTAAGTGGAGATTTCCGCACCCTAACCACCGAAGGACGGTCGACCGTGGCCCTGTCACGGTCCACGTGGACCGTTTGGAGCTTCCTACAATTTGTCTAGAATGGGGTTTTGAGACGGTCAACCGTTTCCCACAAACGGTCCATGACCTCGACCGTCCAAATCTCGGATTCTTCTTCCAGTGACGGTCGACCGTTGATAAGCAACGGTTCATCCTCCTCGACCACTTGTAACCCAGAATTTCCGGCATATTTTTGTACTCCAGACGGTCAACCATTGTTGGTACACGGTCCACCTCCCTCGACCGTCTGTAGCGTATTTTCTCTGGAATCGTTCGGCGAGTTCAACACTTGACCATGGTTGTCCCACGGTCCAGTGTGTAGACCGTCCGAATCTACCTTTTCGAGATTCCTCATTTTAGCCCCGAAATCATGCTTAATCATCCAGAGATCCCTCGGAACATCCTGGAACTCGCTAATCCTTAGTTTCTCAATTGTAACGAGCAAGTTAAAATTTTCTTTGATTCGTTTTGATCATGATCTTGTGATGAGTCCCACGAGTATGGTTAAAATGGGAGTATCGTGACTTGGATTCACATCAGAGAGTAAGGGAAGGGGTTGACCTAGAAAGAATTTGAAGGAGGTGATTAGAAAAGGCGTAAGACTTTTGGCCCTTGCCAAGGATATAACCTTAGATAAAAACATTTAGAAAGCTAGGATTAGGGTAGTTGGGTAGGCATTTTGGACTAGGTGGTCCCACCCTGTTGCTGTGTGCTTCCTTGTTTCGTGATTTATGCTTGTTGTGTTTTTCTGTTGTTATTTTTAGTTATTTTCTATTTTGTGTTTTCTGTGTTCTATGTCCCTTCTGTAAGCTTGTGTTATTTGTGCTATCTGTGTTTGTGTTACTTGAACAGGGGTCTCTTGGATACAGTCTCCCTAGTCTCCCTACTTTCGAGTAGGGGTAAGATCTACGTACATATACCCTCCACAAACCTTACTTTCATGGGATTTAACTAAGTTTTGTTTTTGTTAGAGAGGAAAAGAAAAGAAAAGTAAAAGGAAAAGAAAATGAGAAGGCAAAGAGAAATAAGATGAGGGAAAACAAAATTCCTCCCATTTGGACTTTTGGTGATGAAAATGAGAGAATGTTTTCTTTTCCTTACTAATTCCTTGAAGCAAACATAGTGTTAAGGATTTTTGTTTTCAAAACTTCACCCAATTTACTTATCTGTTGTCATAAAATACACTGAAAAAGAAACTGATTTGTTGACCCATATAGATGAGATCAAGAGTATTTGAAATTGGTACTTCAATTCATCTCTCTCAACATACATAAACTATCATACCAAAATATACAACAAAAGGTAGCCACCAAGATATGCATGTAAACACACAATTGACCCCTAATGGACATGAAAAAATTAACACATGTGCTGCCTACAATTGTATTGATCAAGAAAGAACACTCAAGTACCAATGCACTTTGAACATTGTTACAGGAATAGTCTCAACTTTCTACCAGGGTTTCAAAATTTTCACAAATGAAGAATGTTTTTCTATCCCGTACTCTGCTCACCAGCAAAGTAAAACTATGAACTTACTGGAGTGTCGGTACAATTCCAGATGGGTGCTTGGAAAGATCTACCGGCTGGCTCCCTCCCATCGTGTCCTGATTAGCATCCATCGAACAGGGAACCCTTATCTTAAAGGATGGGGTTCTTTTTTCTCAACAAAAAAATTCAATAACTTCGGAAGAAATCTGAAATCCAATTGTGGAGTTAGGGTTTCCAATCAGGGCACCAGTTCGAGAAATCAGGATTCAACTACAGAAATATCCAAATTTGTTTGATCATTTTAACTGCGGATCTTCATATTACAGGAAACACGAGTCCAATTTAATAAGTAGCTAAAATGCATACAGTCTTAAATCCCGTTAAATTCAAAGGAAAAAAATATATGGTGAAAATCAATACTTGGGCGCCAAAGATTTGAAAAGTAATCCTTTTATACAAGATGTTTGCATATATATAGATACGGACATATAAATACAGGTGGATTTGTATATGCGTGTATATATACCCTTGAGAGGAGAGATCTGAAGAGAGAAAACAATAGCGGACTGCGGGGGATAATATATGCGAGCGATGGAGGAGACGGGGAAGGCTTATCTACCCGAAGGAGATATTTATATCGAGTGACTGGCTAGGCCCAGGTGTAGCCGGTATAGGACTTCTGTGACCGGCTATTGGCGGTCTCAACATGCCACTATGATCCGTTGTAGTCTTGGAGATATTAGCTGGACAACCATGCTAGGGGTAGGGGTGGACACAGTACGGTTTCGGTTTCGGAACCACCCGTTCCGATACTGCCACCCCTTGGTACCGTTACCGTGACTGGATCGGACGGGTACCGGACCGGCTGGTTTCGGCAACTCAACATTTACACTTTTAAAATTTTAAAAAAGCAAAAAAAAAAAAATAGGGTTGTCGAAACCGGCCGGTCCGATACCGGAACCTCCGGTCCGGGTACCGGCACCGGTACCGTCCGGTCCGGTCACAGTACTGGTATCAAGGTGTGGCGGTACTGGAATCGGCGGTTCCGGAACCGTCCAGAAACCGTACCGAGTCCACCCCTAATTACTCTTAACCCATCTTTAGATGACAAAAAAGACAAAGGATGTAGCATGGAAAGCAACTCCACCACAAGAATGGGAAAGAAGACTTTAGTGATAGTGACAACGAGTTTGTATTCATTATAAAAAAAAGTTCTACAAATCCATGAAGGAGCATGAAAGGTAAAACAAGAACCAAGGGCCCCTGAAATGCTATGGATGTGAAGAAATTAGTTACTTCAATCTGTATTTTCGGAAGCTCAAAAATGACAAAGACAAGAAGTCCTTTAAGAAGCATCAACGAGCTTACTATTGACCTTTGTATTTTGATAATGACAAATATTTTGTGGGACTTGGACTGATGGTTTGTTTAGGAACAAGCTTTGGATTTGAAGTAAAGTTCGAAAAAAGAGGTTCTCTGTATTTTATATGGCATTCCTTTTTCATCATAATTTGATTGTTTAAGTGTATGGCTCATAATTGATACACCTAGTCTTACTTCATTTATATCCCTCTGGAAAGTCTTCCCAAATGCTCTCGAGTCACTTTCAAAATGTTTCTATCATCTACGAGTAAAATATTTTCTTTCTACTCCGGATAGTTCATGGTCGTTGTTTCTTTTCTAATTTATTTTTCTAGGCCACTTACTCGAATAGTTGATGATTTACTCAAATAATTTGTGAGTTTTTAGAGTTGGCTTGTGCGCTTACTTATTTGAGTAAACATGAACATATTCGAATAAGGCTCCGTTCCGTTCAACTTATTTTTTCTGATCTGATTCTAATAAGTTCTGATCTGATCTGGTCTAATATGATCTGATTTAATCTGATTGAATCTGATCTGATAGGATCTGATTTGATCTGATTGGATCTGATCTGATCTGGTTTGATGTGATTAATTATGATTTCATTTAAAATTTTAAATCAATAATTTGATTTGACTTTATAATAACGTTTGAAAATTGTAATGATAATTTATATTATAACATAATCAATATTTTTTATTTAATGATTATTTTTTAGTAAAATAAAAATATTTAATTCATATATTAGAATAATAATTCATATTATAATGTAATAATATTTTTTATTTTATGATTATTTTTTGTGAAATTAGAATATTAATTTAATATTTTAATAATTACTTCATATATACATTAGAATAAATATTTAATTTAGATATACATTAAAAAGTAATTAAATTTAGATAGTTAATATATAGAAGAGATAGTATTTTTATTAAAATATCTCATCCTTATAAAAGATAAAAACTTTAGAAACTCAAATTACAAGTATCAATAAAAATATATTTTAAAAGTAGAATTAGATTGACTTTGTCAATGTATTTTAAAAATAATTTTTTCGACGTCTAATAATTAAGGATTACTTTCTCAGTTTTCTATTTAACCAATTTCTAAAGTTTATTGTTTTTCATTTTTAAGAACAATAATAATAATAATAATAATAATTCTTGATGGGGTCTGATTTTAATAAGTCCTAATCTGATCTGATCTGGTCTGATTGGATCTGATCTGATCTGATTGGATCTGATCTGATCTGATCTGATTTTAATAAGAATAAGAAAAAATAAGACAAAATAAGTTGAACGGAACGGGGCCTAAGTCATGATCTTTCAAGATATGGTTTTTGACAGACTTATTTTTGTTTTTAAAATTAACAATCTAAACGCTACATTCCCCATCCATTTATCCACCAACATTCATGGAGGAGCTCATCTAAGTTCATTTTTATCAAAGGTGGATACATTAAGCCACTGTGCGTTATTAAGTTAAAAAAATATGAACAAATATTACTCCTTCCGTCCGGATTTTAAGTTCCCATTCTACGCTTTTCTCCGTCCAAATTTTAAGTTCCCATTCTACGTTTTAATATCTATTCTTCCTAAAATACCCTTCTCTCCTTTCTTCTTCCTTTTCTCTTTCTCCCTTCATTTTCAATTTCCAATCCCTAAATTTCTTTCTTTTTTTCTCGGATCTGTACCTGTCTTCCACTCCCCCACTTCTTTCTCCTTTTCTTCCTTTGTCTTCTTCTTCTTCTTCTCAAAATCTCTTCCACCCATCCTTTCCTTTTTCTTTTCTCCATGTCTCCCATTCTTCTCCATTTCCCCAATTCTCGTTATCTCTTCTCCTCATTTTCTTCTTTTTCTTCTTTCTTTCTTCTCGTCTCTGTGTTCCTCCGTCATCTCCTCCTCTCTTTTTTCTCCCATTCATCTTTGTTCTTCTTTATCTCCCCCTTTAATTTCTCTTCCATTTTTATTCTCGATCTGAGCATGGCGGTGATGGTAGGGGTGGCGATAGNGGCGATAGTGGCGGTGGTGACGATTGTGAGTCTAGATCGGAGATCTCCACTTCTTCCTCTTTTTTTTCTTCTTCTTTTCCCTCTCCTCCTTTTTTCTTTTAGATCTGCCTCTGTCACAGTGGCGGAGATGGTGGTGCTGCGGGCGAAGGCGGGGCTGGCCGGCGGTGCTGGGGTGACAGCGATGGCGAGGGTGCGTTAATGGTATGTATGGATCTGCACTCCTCTTCTTCTCTATTTCCGATTTCTTTCTCGTCATTCTTTATTTTAGATTTGATGGTGGGGCTGTGGAGGATATGGTGAAAGGATGGTCGGAAAAAAGAGCAGTGATGGGTCTAGGGACAATGGTGGGGCTGGCGGCAAGGAGAGCCTACGGTGGTTCTTGGAGCTGTGTGATGGCAGATTGGCAAGGCTGGTAAAGGAGAGGGTGAAGGAGGGCAGTTTAGACAAATTACACTCATAGTCAACTTCCACTAAAAATGAGCAAAAGTCAAACCCGGAACTTAAAATCCGGACGGAGGGAGTATATTCTAATAAAATCAATAACACTGCAAAACAATACCCATCATTTTTACTCATTTTACCCCATATCTTCGCTTTACTCTCCATATTGTCTCCATACTTTCATCATCTTTCTCTTCATATCTTCTACTCTACCTACACTACAAACTCATTCAACCCAAACAACTCATTCTCAAACCCAAACCATCCCACATTCAATCGAAATAGCCCCAACCAATCAAAGTTAACAAACTCGAAGATCGTAATTACCAACTACTCCTTCCGTCCTTAAATTTGCTTCTCATTTCAATTTACAAGTTTGTAACAACTTAATTTTTAATTTAATTTATTTGATTAAAGGTGTAAACTTTAAAAATAAAATTTTTATATTTAAAAACTACATCAAAAGTTCTACAAAACTAGAGGTGACATGACTATTTTATTTTATCAAATGACTAATAAAAATAAGTAAAGCAAGTGAATAAAATTTTACCGTGTGAGTGGTAATTGGGAAGATAATCTTAGGATGAAGGGAGTAATTTATGAAGATATTCAAATATTAAATAGAAATCAACCTAAATAGGACTAAGACATAGAGAAAAGTACCAAAATAGGACTTTGATGTTTTTTCCCGAAATAGACTTTGCACTGTGGTAATGTGGCTTTGCCCTGTTGTAATGTGGCAGTGTACATGTGCAAATTACTGTACTTTTTGGTAATGCATATGACCATATATGGTAATGTAAGTCCTATTTCGGGAATAAAAACATGGAAATCCTATTTTGGTATATTTTCAATGTTTTAGTCTTGCTTTAGTCTTTCTCCCAATATTGAACTCGCATCAAGCCGTTACAAACTAGTCTCAAATGTCGAACCCATTCCCTACCTGCTCTCTAATGTTCTTCAATCAAAATCCACCCCTAACCCTAGTTTGTAGTCGAGACCCAACCTAAGCGCATAACCTAACTCGTAACCTAAACCAAACCTAAGAAGAAAAGAACTCATAGAAAAAAGGATATCGTATCCATACGCGTGGAAGGAACACCAAAAAGAATTACTCCCTCCGTCCGAAAATGATGTTCCCATTTTACATTTTTTTTCGTCCGAAAATAATGTTCACATTCTACTTATTTTTTCACATTCTTCCAAAACTACCCTCTTCCTCCTTTCTTTCTTTCTCTTTTTTTCTTCTCCTTCGGTTCTCATCTTTTTCTTTTTCCACTCTTTCTCTTCATTTTTCATTCTTCTTCTTCTCTCTGTCTCGGATCTCCAGCTTCTTCTTCTTCTTCTTCTTTCTTCCCCTACTCTTTTTCTGTTCCACACAGATCCGATCCCCCTCTTCATCATCTCATCATCCTCCGCCTCTTCCTCTTCTTCTCATCATCCTCCACACCGATCCACACAGATCTCCCTTTTTCTTCTAGATCTAAACACAGATCTTACAAATCACCCTCCGCCTCTTACTCTTCTTCTTCCCTTCATCGCAAATCTTTTCTTTCTTCCAAATCTTTGATGGAGGGGGATGGCGGCGATGGAGGGACAGGAGGTTGTGGTGGAGGCTGACGGCACTGTAGGTGTCGGTGGAGAAGGTGGGGTTGGCCGTGGTGGTGGGGGATGATGGTGAGCGACGGACCGACGGTTGTGGTGGGGGGTTGGCGGCAACTGGGAATTGGTAAAGAAGGTGGGGTGGTAAGAGATGCGGGTGATGGTGGCTAGCGGAAATTGGGGTGTTCATCAGTGAAGGGTATTTTGGACCATTCCTCCCCATAGTCAACCACTCTTAAAAATGAAGAAAAGTCAAACTGGGAACATCATTCCCGGACGGAGGGAGTAGTATATAATTATTGGCGTGTAAGTGAAACATTATGCAATTGTCTGAAAGAATGAAGCTAGTTGGCCATGGCGTAGAACTTTTGGGGAGAGCTTGTGTAGCTTATACTATAAGGGTATGGTGTTGCTATATTCACCCTCATTTTGCCTATATCCACACCTTTTATATTAAATATACAATTTGGCCTTTGAAAGTAGTCTTGTATCAAAACTCTATCTTTTGTATTTTTGAAGTTAAAATTATTTATTTAACATTAATGGAGTAGATATAGCCAAAATGAGGGTGAATATAGTAGCATCCATGGTATAATCATAAACGATTATAAGCATAAATAATCCACTTGATTTTGCATAAATAAATAAATACTACTTCCGTCCCACTGTCTTTGTCCACTTTTGACTTTTGGAACTGTTCATCTAAGCACTTTGACTCATCAAATTCTCTCAATGTGTAAGCCTAAATATAGTCATGTATGATCTTGTTTGATTTGTTTTAACATATAGATTATTAATATATAATTTTTATAATTTTTTAATATACAAATTACAAGATAAAATGGATTAAAGAAGTGCATTGAATGATGTGCCAAAAAGTAAGTGGACAAAGACAGTGGGACGGAGGGAGTAGTTCTTATACTTTCAAAAATTATGATATACATAGTAGTCCATATGATCAAATAAGTCATTAATCTTTATCTAAAGAAAACATGAACCACACAAAACAGGCACAAAAATGTGAAATATTATGTAGCAAAATAAAAAAGTTAATCTAACAAAATTATTCTTGTCTTCGTAAACATGAAAGGATATTTTTTCACCTAGAGCATTAACCAAAAATAAAGTTATTTAGAGAAAATAACATGGAGCTCATTAACTCATTTAGAATATTTGATTACATGGATTATTTAACAATTTTTTAAATTGGAGAACCATTTGCCAACTCAATCATAAAAGCCATAACAAACAAGTCACAACTCATATTGTAAAAGAGATTATGTTTTCGGAATCTGATAGGTCACACATATCCACCGTTGACTCGAATGATCTGGCCGTTGACCCACTCACCTCCGTCACCGGCCAAGAATGCAACCACCGGAGCTATGTCCTCCGTCTCCCCAAGTCTGCCAAAGGGGCTCTCATCCACCGCCTTCTTTATCGCCTCCTCCGATTTCCCTTCGAAGAACATGTCCGTAGCCACCGGCCCAGGAGCCACGCAATTCGCCGTTATCCCCGTCCCTTTCAGCTCTTTAGCCAGAATCTTCACCATCGCTTCGACGGCCGCTTTCGACGCCGCGTAAGCCCCGAACCCTGGCCTCAGCGCCGCCACCAACGACGAAGTGAGACAGATGATCCTCCCCCCGCCGCCGCGCTTGATCCTGTTGGCGGCCTCCCGGCAACAGAGGAACGCGCCGCGCGTGTTGACGCTGAAGGTCTGGTCAAAGTCCTCGATCTCCGTACCGGCAATCGACGGGTACTTGGCGTCCAGCACGCCGGCCGAATTGACCAGAATATCGACCGAGTTGAAAGCCGCCTCTGCCGCGTCGAACAGGGACTTCACCTGGGCCGGATCCGACACGTCGGCTTTCACGGCGATTGCTCGCGGGGATCGGCCGGAATTGAGCTGGGAGACGACGAGGTCGGCCTGAGCGGAGTTGGCGGTGTAATTGATGATGAGTTTAGCGCCGAGAGAAGCCAGGTGGAGGGCAATGGCTTTGCCGATTCCTCGCGATGAACCGGTGACGATCGCCACCCGATCTTGGAGCGGGCTCGTCTGCCGGAGAACGCTGCTTTGCTCGGCGGCCATTTGATCGGCGGATCTTGGGGTTTATGATTACTAATTAGGGATAATCCAAATTGATCGAAATGTACTCCATTTATCTACGACTTCTTCTGTAGGGTGCATATTGAGTCCCAATTTTCATTAGTGAAATTTGCACACTTTCCTAACGTAGGACTTAAACTTTTTTATTCCCTAAATAGGACTTAATAATGACCTAGTGGAAAAAATAATGTCCATAATGATGGAAATTTACTTGAATAATAACTACTTTATAATGACCAAAATTCCTACATTGGGAAATAAAAACATATGGTCCTATATTGGGAAGTCATTATGTTTTAGTCCTATTTAGGTAAATTACTCTTTTCATTACTCTATCTAGTTATTTAAGGAGAATTCTCAATTTAGTATTATATGTTTTTAATTTTTTTAATATAGTACCATTGGTCACTGTTCTTTGATCATTGTTCAAGTAAATGTTCACTGTCATTGGATATTGTTCATATTCCACTATCACTGGACATTGTTCTCACTACTATACATTATTCAAATACTATTTACAAAATAAAAAAGTTTAAGTATTACATTTAGAAATGAAATATGTTTTAGTTCTATTTTGTCTAAATTTCACTTTATTTAAACATTTGCTTTGAATACTCCCTCCGTCCCACTGTCTTTGTCCACTTACCTTTTAGCACACCATTCAATACACTTCTTTAATCCATTTTATCTTATAATTTGTATATTAAAAAATTATAAAAATTATATATTAATAATCTATATGTTAAGATGAATCAAACAAGATCACACATGACTATTTTTAGGCTTACACATTGAGAGAATTTGATGAGTCAAAGTGCTTAGATGAACAGTTCCAAAAGTCAAAACTGGACAAAGACAATGGAACGGAGGTAGTATATTTTAAAACAAAATATTGTTTTCACCATAGTTTTGAAAACCGGATCGGCCGGTTCGGACTGTAAATCGGCGAACCAGTGGTCCAGCCGGTCCGGTCTGGCTTGTTGGACCGTGATCTGCTTCAAACCGGTTCGAATCGGCCGGTTGAATCAGTCCGCCCAATATTTTTTGTTTAATTTACAATTTTTTTCCAAAACATGCATCTGTTTTAAAACAAAATATTGTTTTCACCATAGTTATAAAAACTGGACCGGACCGGCCGGTTCAGACCGTAAATTGGCAAACCGGTGGTCCAACCGATCCGGTCTGACCCGTTGGACTGCTTGAAACCGGTTCGAACCGACCGGTCAAACCAGTCCGCCTAGTTTTTTTTTTTGTTTTTTTTACAAATTTTTCCAAAACATGCATCCGTGGGGATTTGAACCCCAGATCTCTTAGACATTTGGTTGAGTCCTAACCATCAAAGAAGTGATTTGAGAAAAGATATAATTAAAAAATGCTATTTTGAAACTTCTTAATAGTTTATATACAATAAAAAGTATCAAAATATACTGCACTTAATAATGGACATTTTTAATGAAAGCTTACCAAGAAAATAAATTTCAATTATATGTAACACATAGATAATTCTTATTTATTGATGACTAATTTGAAAAACTAATTTTGAGAAAATAGAACATTTTGTTGTCATTATCTTTCTATCCTTTGGTTTTCCACAAAAAGAAAGAGTGTAAATTAGACCTCATTTTGGAGAGACGAAAAGGAGTGGAAAAAGCACGTGGAAGTGCGAAACGTGCCAACTCAAAAGGAATACGGACAGCCCAGCCTTAAAAGTGCGGAAGCTGAATCCATGCCATCGCCATAGCCGCGCCACCACTTTTCACAATCTAACCCCAGTACCAGGACACTCAAGAATCATCCGAGTCTTATCGTATATCCAATTCCCAATTCTCATGAATTCTTCTTGATTAAACGATGCAGAATTTGTGTTTTTCACGAGGTGTTCTTACCCGATTAAGAGCCAAGAATCTAAAAGCTCAAGGGTTCGTCTTTTCTATTCGAAGGGATGAGTTTATCTGTTCAGATTCAAGGCTATTTCAAGCACTTTCTTATTCAATTCCTACTTCAAGATTCCATTTTTGAAAAATTTATCTTCTTTTCAATAGGAAAAGCTTATTTGACACCCAGACTCTTGTCGGAATTTGAGTGGATATGAGTTCAGGACAATCAGGATTTCCCTTTGGTGTGTTTGGTTTCCTGGAATTGGGGGAAAATGCATAGAAATATGATAGAAATACATTTTGAAAAAAGAATGAGTCTGAACATAAGTTTTGTTTTCCCTTTCATTCCAAATTTCTGGTAGATTTTCATCTCTTTTATTGTCCTTCGAACTTTTGGAGTTCCTGACTGGACAGATGTTCTCTGTTGGGTTTTTGGATATAATAATTATAATAATAATTCCATCTGTTCTTTGGTGTGTGACAATAGGGGTTTTTTGTTGAAACTGCTGGTTGTAGTTTGGCTGTATTAAATGATGGGAAGAAGTCTTAGCCCTTTACTACAGAAGGAACTGGAGAAGAATCTTGATTTGGATATGAAATCTAATGAAGGGTTATTCAGCACTTCAGCTGACAATGAAGTGCCTAATGACGCAATCTCACTCGATGAGGTTGATAACATCATGGGAACCATCATCAAGACCTTGAAATCCTCCACTAAAGAGTCATTTCCACTCCATTCTCAATCTTGCTTGAGAGCAATTTCAGCCATAGCAAGGTACGGGATGGGCCCCACTACCCCAGAAGAGAAGAAGCAACACATCGTTCGCTCCCTAGCCAAGCCGCTCTCGGACTGCCTCTTGGCCACTCAAGAAACCCTCTCTTCTGGGGCTGCCCTATGCCTAAAGTCCCTTGTAGACTCTGACAATTGGAGGTTTGCTTCTAACAAGACAGTGAACCACGTCTGCCAAACGGTTTCTGGTGCATTGGAGAAGCATAGGGAGATAAGCTCTCACATGGAGCTGGTCATGTCCCTGGCCAAGCACAACAGTTTGGTCATTGAAGCCTATGCAAGATTACTGGTTCAATGTGGATTGCGCGTTCTAAGGCAAGAGAATGATCACACACGATTATTAGCAGTGGTGATGATTAGCTGCCTGATGAGGTATCTGGATCCAAGGAGTATGCTGTCTGAGATGGGAATGATTGTTGAAGAACTGAGGGCTCTTCAAGAATCACCAGATGAGACGAGCTGTGTTAGAGTGGCAGCATTTGAAGCATTGCAGTTGGGTAAAACAATTTGTTCTGAGAATCTCTGTGAATTTGGTGATGATTCAGCCACCACATCTTGGCCACGTTCAATGAGCACGAACCGGAGACTCTGGAAAAGGCACGAAAATGACGCGGTGGGTTTAATAGCAGATAATAACAGCTCCCATTTTTATGGAAAGAACAAGAACAGCGCGCGTTCTAGACGTCGCAGAGAAAACAGGGACAGAAATGTTGAAAGCTCAAGATCCGATTCTTCTGCAGAACTTAAAAGCTTCAGAAAGGATGAAACGAAACTGCACGGTTCGTATACTCGGAATTACAAGCGCAGAATGATTTGTGTTTTTTTAATTCTTGTCGTTGCGATTCTTGCATTTTCATTGTGGGGAGAGTATCAAGATGGCGTTTATAACCTTGTCCCCACTTAGGCTTTGTGAAACTTTTGTTTGTTCATGAATTGGTTTGGTTATCATTGAATTCGAGAACCATTTAGGCTTTTTTGAAAGATATGAATTTGTTCCAGTGTGATTCTCTACAACTTCAGATCTTTGCATGGCTTTCCAATTACTCCATGAAAAAATTGTGACTTTGCTCCAATATCAAATGAAATTACAATTTTTTGGAAGGAGCCGTGGGATTATTTATTGCTAGAAATGAATCTTTATGAAAATAAATTTGCTCTCCATAGAAAAAATATCAAATGTTTGGTTTGACACAAAAGACACAACATTTTAGATACGATAGAACGGCTAAGAAAAAAAAGGGTCATGTGACTTTTATTTTGAGATGTAGGTTTTGTAAATTCTGCAAATTTTCATCCCATAATCCTCTAATTTTGAAAAAAAAAATGTTGTTGATTTTGTTTTAAGAATCTGATTTTAAAAAGTAATCAGCCACGTGCTTCTTAAGAATTGGTTAATTCTGAAACAATTAACTCTAGTAACAAAAATCGGTTCAAAAGATAATTGAAACCAAATGAACGTTTGTTATGATACCGTGGAATATAGCTAAATAAGTTTTGTTTGTAAGTACTCCCTTCGTCCAAAATAAATTTTATAAGAGTCCGTTTGGTATACGGAATTGACGGAATTGGAATTGAAATTTCATGGGATTCAATTCCGTAGAATTGAATTCTGTCAATTCCAATTCATTTTTTGCACTATCAATTCCAAATTCATAAAATTTTTGTGCTACCAAACACCAGAATTGGAATTGAAGTCCTCAGTTCCAATTCCATAATTTGAATTCCATGTACCAAACGGGGCCTAACTATATTTGCGGCATTTGAAAGAATGTTGAAAAATGAAAGTTTATGATTAAAATTTTTTTAGGATAAAGAGAAATGGACGTGAACCACAATCCATTTGTTGAAGGAATAAAGAAAGTTCAAAAATTATTTTAAAACTATCGAAAAAATAAAAGTAAAGTTTATTTTGAAATGATAAATATATATAATGCAAATATGAGTATAAAAGTATAAAACTGGAACACAACCAATTTATTGGATTTACCACAGATTTTGTGGTAGGTAACATAAGTATGACTCTCCCAAATAAAAGGTCATGAGTTTGAAGTTCAGTGGAGACATTGGCTCTTTGTAATTAAGTAGATTGAAAAAATATGTATAGATAAATACTCGTACAAAACTTTAATGGAGTTTATACTCTACAAAAACTTGTTTGACTTGATTTCAACATCATAACTAGCAAATAGTGATTATTGACTTATTCTACTTATTACTAGTTAAATAAACACTTACTAGAACAACTTAATTAGTACCCACGAGAGTAAGGTCTGTAAATTAAATACACACTATACTATTTTGGAATTGGGACATGAGTAAATCACAAATATATCCATATCAAGTGGAATGTAGTATTGGTATTGAATTTTGGTACTATAAATTAGTGCTAGTCCAAACAAAATGTGGAACATGGAAAATGAAAGAATAATAATAGGACACATGTAATCTTTCAGCCCCAAATTAATTTCCCAAGTTCGGGTAGACACAATAAAGTGAAATCATACTCCTATAATTATTTATGAAGAAAAATTATGGTATAATGTTATGAACCACATTATTTTCTATGTATGAAAATAAAAATAAAATTGGGACAGACGAAAAAAAGCAAGTCAGTCACTTGAATTGAGAGGAGTAATATCTTTACTTGCCCTATTCGTTTCAAAGTCAAAATGCATCACATCCATAACCTTTTATAACCAAATAATTTGGGTTCAGTTATTTTTTAGGATACTAGTCAAAATGTATCACATCCATAACCTTTTATTAACCAAAAAGAAAATTAAAACAAAAGGGCACCAACTAAACGATCTAAAGCACAACTCAAAAACACACTAATTCATTGCAGTCAAATTTAAAAAATACACTAATTCATTGCAGTCAAAAGATCTTAGCTGTGTATCTTTTCAGAAGTCCTTATTCTAAGCATCCTGTAATCCATTTGTGACAAAAAGAGAGGCTATAACCCTCCTAGGATCGATATTAGATGCGCATCAAGCGCATAGTAAAGCATGTTTGTTATGTATGGTAATTGTACCCCTACACTGAACTCCTACCTAAGAGACTACACTTTGAACTTCAATGACTACTGCTAGTACTAGTAGTAGTTGGTGGTGGTGGTTTGTGCGATTTATCGTGGGAAATCAATACTGCTGCAAACGATCTTTGTCCTTCCCGCCCTTTCGCTTCTCCGTCTAAAACACCCAATCCTCCTTTACCTCTTTCCCCTACAACTTCCTGTGTGGACACTGCCACTCCTGCTGCTTTCACATTTTCATCCTATATCCGAAGTATAATAACATCAAAAATAATAATATTTTTTCTGTCGGTGAAATGGACAAACTGGGTTGGGTTAGTATGCTTGCCTGCTTAGTGGAAGATACGACTTGCTTAGCCTTTCTCTCTTGCATCATCTTCTGTCGCGCTTCATAGAACTCGAGATCGTCTAAGATGCATGTTTTACCTGAATGCCCTTTGAATATCTTCAGTATCTGAATTCCTTGCTCAAGCCCCACCTGCACCATCATTGCAAAAAACCATCAAATTTTACCCGCCCACAAAAGAAACATATGCTTCAAGTGTGGCTTTTTCCTCGCCTAAACATTTAAGGAAACAAACCTCCTGAGTATCTCTGCTGTTAGTTACGGGTTTATTCTCATTGTTTTCTAGTGTGATATGCCTCAACATACTGTTAGGTACATCTTTTACCATATGCCACTTAACAGGGAAGCACCCATTCCACTTGTCTTGTTGCCAATACTCAACGGTCTTATCGTAATCAACAGGGCCAATCATCTCGGCAAGACCAACAAACTGTCCACTTGCATTGACCTGAAACACAACGTTTTAGGAGAAAAATAAAAACCTAGTTACAGTCACCTCTCACTAACAAATGCATGCTCTATCAATAACATACATGTCTGTTTGGAACCCAGAAAATGTTTAAGAAAATAGCAAGGAAGACAGGAAATTCAGGTGAAGAGAACAAGCCCTAAAATTTAGGGGAAATAAAAAAATATTCGAACTTAATGGATCCATGTTTTCTGTTTGTCCAATTGCACTTCGTTTATATATTTGTATTATATAGAAATATAAATTCATATGAAAATTTCAGAAACTTTTAATCAAATTGGAATTTTCAGTCATATTTACAGAGTTAAAAACCAAACATTAACCAGCAAATGGCAACTTTTCACTTCTTCCCCTACAATTTTCTGCATTCCAAACATAGTTTAACATGAATGGTGCATCATGAGAAACACTTACAGAAAACAGCAAAAAGACAGGACATCCACCAGGCTTCTCTCGAGCTTCTTTGTATGCTTCGTCTAGTTTCTTATTACCATTTGGGGTGCTGGCCCATATACCATATTTGACACTTTTGTGCACATCATCTTCACTGTAGGACTTAATGACAAAGAACTTAGCATTTGAGAACGTCTCGGGAAAATCATCATGGTTGAACTGTTCCCTGCTGGGGAAAAGAGTTAAATGATCCTCATCATTGACAGTTTTACCCTTCGTATTGTTAAGAGTAGGCTCCTTAACTGCTAGAACGATGGACTCAGAGTCCTGATCCTTTGAAACTTTTGTGCGGGGTCCTCTATTCAGTTCACTTAAGTCATTCACGCTTCCATTATTGTCACTGGATAGAACACTGCTCCGACCAAGTGACTTTTGCATGTTATGAGTAGACATCCAATCACGGGAGCCTGACCTAGCACCATAACTTCCTGATCTGAAACCCAAATCTCTTCTAAATGTGTTTCCGCGTTGGCCATGCACACTACTATTTGGGTACATCCGATTCATGTACCCAACACCTAGACCAGATGCCCCCATTTGATGTTGCAAGCCCTGTAATTGAATAGCAGAGACTTCATTTCTAACGTGGTTCCATGTAAGCTATAGGGAGTAAACATTATCTAAATTGATAATCCAACTCACATAAAAAGGGAAAGAAAAACCCATGTTCATAACAACTGAGGATCAACACATCAATCAAGCTAGCAAAGAATCTAATTACTTGTCATTATGTCAGGTAAAGACCTAGACAATTGGGGACAATTAACAAGTGAGGAGTTATACCTCTGCTGCTAAGAGTAACTTATATACTCGTACTTTAGAAGTGACAGAAATGTAAAGATACTGATTTAGATTGTTCAAGTTTTTAAAAGAAAATGTGCAATAGTAAATAACATAAATGATTGCACCAAAGCACAGCTTATAATACTTTTTTATATTAAAAAAACTTATGGTCCTAAGTGCACTAATTCTGCCAGAAAATGTCTGTCTCAGAACATCGAGTTATACATAATGCACTAGTAACCAACTATGAGAACAAATACATCTATTCAATATTGATTAAAATGAAAACAACTACCACCAAAAAAATAACATTCATGAGGCTACCTAGAAAAGAACAGATGCAACAAATTGAAATCTCTACGGTCTAGATATATAGCTCATGCATACTATGTGTAAGGCAGAATATTTTCTCCTGTTTAAAATATTCATGAAATCATCCTATTCCTAACTATAGAAAATTCCAAGCAGGTCAAAAGTACACAGTATAATCATATATGAAGTATTTAATTTGCCTACCATGCGATGTGGAGGGTGTTGCATATTTTGGCTTGTTCCTGAATGGAAATTGCTACTCCGTGTACCAGGTGAAGACGTCCAATGGCGTGCTGCAAGAATAGCTAGGAGTCAGATAAAGTAACTAGTTATTTATGACAATGCACTAAGCCTACTCTTGGTTCCTAGAATTGATAGCAAAGAGAAATACCTGCTGAAACGTTTCCCCATTCATAGGTTTCTGGTGATTTCATTGAAGCACTATGATAACTAGGTCTGATTGGCTTTGAGATGTTAGGTCGATGAATCATGTCACTGAAATTATGACTTTGATTTCCTATAGTTTCCCCAGGCAATAGAATATGGGAAGAAATAATAGAAGTTGTGACATCTGATTGGACTTCATTTGGCATGCTCCATGAGTGAATTCCGTTATTAGTTGAAGAAGGCTGAGCATGAGTAGTTGGATATTGGTATTGTTGGGGGGTATATTGTTGGCTATCGCGTCCAGTATTTGATCCGGATGGAGAATATGTTCCATATGGTACATAACCATAACCATGATGATAGTCACCATACACTGTCTGAAAGCACCCAATAACATATCAGAAGCAATCTTCAAAAACAGTAACTTCAAGCACAAGTGGATCGGGGTCAAAGATGATTATGCAGCCTCAAAGAAGATAAAATGTAATTCATGTACTATCACACTCCACACCCTACTTTGCTAAGTTTCAATTAAGAAATCACAAAGAGGAAATCAGAATACACGCTTAATAGAAAACTATCAACAACCAAGCAAGGAAACAATAACAAAACTTACATGAGGCATTTCAGAAACATCAAGAATTCCATATCTATCACACTCATTGATTGTAGAAACATCATAATCTGCATGACAACCAAAAGTAGGTAATGTAATTCCTAGAAATGTGGTTTCCATAACAAAGTAATTATCAAGTGAACAAGTGATTAACAAAAAGAATACTCCGTAATAATTATATAAAATAAGAGCAGCAGCAGCGACAACTAGTTTCTTTGATCTTGATGCTTTGAATGAATGATCTGTTTAAACCAGGTTTCAGCCTTTCTTCCTAATCAGGCACTAATAAATTGAGGAATAATAGTATATCCTCTGAATTAAGTCTCTCATTACACACAATGATGAAACAAAATATTCTACTTCCAAGTTTTAAGTGTGAAGATACAGATAGCAGTTGAAAACTACAGCTTACCTTCATAGTAATATGTTGATGATGGGTGCCCATTCGGGTTGTAGGACGTGCTAGGAAGTGTGGAATCCCAATGGAATGGCAATGCCGATCTCTCGAGAGGGTTGCTCTGACCATTTGTTATAGCACCAGAACCAGCAGGAGCATAATTGGCAGAAAATGTCTGTATGTGTGTTGGGTGGGGGTGGGGATGGGGGGTAAATATCAATTTCAGAGTTGAATCCAAACAATTATTAGAATTGAAGACAGTTAATGGGGCACTTAGACAGAACAAACTTCGGAAATGCAGGTAGACATGTAGGGGAACTGGGGAAGCAAAAACACATTCTTTTAAAATCCATTTACATGTCAATTTCAACCCATAAATGTACGCAACCAAAAAGATAGCATGCCTAAAAAAGATAAAGCCCTTGAAGAAATACCTTCCTAGTGGGCTCCTGAACTTGTAGAGCCTTTTGGTTATCTGAATCCAGTGTTAAATTCTGCAGCAACTCCACAGTCGTTCCTGCATTAGCAACACACAAAAATTACCAAAAGAAAAAATTCGAATAAATCATCGGATTAGAAAACTCTAGATTTAACAAGCAACTGAAAGGAGAAAACCCTCCGCCACCCAATGCACTAAATAAAGCCATTATTATGCACAAATAGAAAAATCGACCTTGCAGCGCTCAAGGAAACATCGCGTAAACATAATATAACACATACGAAATAAGCGTTGTACAAATACAGACACGAATAGAGATACGTATTCGCAAAATTAAAAATTAGAAGCTAAGCGAAAATAAGTGAGAGAAAGAGAGCATACGATCGGATGGTAGCCCAACAGAAGCCATGAAGGAGATCGGTGGCGTAAATCAGCAGCGCTGGCGGTGTGCGTATGAAAAAGTATGCCGGAGAGGAGGAGTAGGCGCCGGTTCGTGGCTTGAAGGTGGTAGCGGCCGCAGGGAGCAGGAGGATAACTGGAGAATCGTGTAGAGAATAAAAGGATAATAAATATATTTTCCGTAGATAAATATCAATAAATAAATACTCGGGGACTCGGGGCACTTGTACAAAGCGGATATGCTCTTTTTATTAAAAAAAACTAAAAAAAAATTAAAGAACTAAAAAAGTTGCTACAAGATATCCCTATTTTTTGGTTATTTATGTTTTGGTCCAAAATAAGATATCCCATTCCAAGCAAAAACATATACACACACTAGGGTGTACAAAATCCGGGTCGGACCGGAAAAACCAGTTCCGGGCTAGACCGGTAAAATTCCGGACCGGTCTCCTGTCTAAAGATTTTGGACCGGTAAAATTCCGGTCCATTCCGGTCCAAGACCGGATTGTTTCCGGGTCGGACCGGTAAGCCCGGATTATCTATTTTTTAAAAAAAATTAATACTTATGATACGGAGTTTACATATAATTATAAATACAAATGTATATTTTCATTTATTCTTACTTTAATATGAAGTATACTTGAAGAATTATGATTTTCCTTCAACAATAATGTGGGAGTACATGTGTTTATATACACAAGCTATTCCTAATCCTAATCATGGTAGGATTCTACAATAGGAAACAATATACATACAATAAATACAGAATATATATTTAACATAAATATAGAATATATTTAACATGCTCCCAGCTACGTCGGCGTCGATGGTGGGCGAATCCCGAGGCTTGTCCGAAAATCCTGAAATAATATGGACGGGAGGCCCTTTGTGAATATATCTGCGTGTTGTGAGGAAGATGGCACATGAAGGACTCGAATCTGACCAAGGGCCATCTTGTCACGAACAAAGTGAATGTCTACCTCAATGTGTTTGGTGCGCTGATGCTGAACTGGATTGGTGGAGAGATAAACAGCGCTAACGTTATCACAGAAGATGAGTGTGGCGCGGTGTAGGGGTTGCTGTACCTCTAGTAGGAGATTTCGGATCCAGCTGGTCTCGGCAACGGCATTGGCAACGGCTCGGTATTCAGCTTCAGCACTGGATCGGGAAATGGTGGCTTGACGCTTGGAGGACCAAGAGATGAGGTTGTCCCCAAGGAAGACACAGTAGCCTGATGTGGATCGTCTGGTGTCGGGGCACCCAGCACAATCAGCATCGGAGTAGGCCTGAAGAGAATCTATGCTAGACGGAGAAAGAGTCATACCATAGGTGGAGGTGCCGCGGAGATAGCGTAGTACCCGCTTCATAGCTGTGACGTGGACATCTCGAGGGGCGTGAAGGTGGAGATAGAGCTGCTGAACAGAGTAGGAGATGTGTGGCCTAGTAAATGTGAGATACTGGAGGGCTCCAACGATGGAGCGATAGAGGGCAGGGTCGGCTACCAAGGAACCCGATGTGCCAGATAATTTAGCCTTCGTATCGACGGGAGTGGAGATGGGACGACACGTAATCATACCAGCACGCTCAAGGATGTTGTGAGTGAACTGTGTCTGATGTAGAAAGAGACCATGAGCTGTCCGATGGACATTGATACCCAGGAAAAAATGAAGGTCACCCATGTCAGTCATAGCAAATTCCCCCTTAAGGCACTCAGTCAAGCGCCGAAGAAGAGAGTCGGAGGAAGCTGTGAGGACAATGACATCAACATAGAGAAGTAGGTAGGCAGTGTCCGTCCCATGAGAGTAGATAAAGAGAGAGGTGTCAGACTTACACCCTCGAAACCCCAGTGTGTAGATGAATCCAGCAAATCGTTGGTACCATGAGCGGGGTGCCTGTTTCAAGCCATAGAGAGCCTTCTTGAGCCTGCATACATAATTGGGCCTGTGGGGGTCCTGGAATCCGGATGGCTGAGAGGCGTAGACAACCTCCTGCAGATGGCCATGAAGAAAGGCATTTTTGACGTCCAACTGATGAATCGGCCATCCTCGAGAGAGAGCAAGGCTGAGAATGATACGTATGGTAGCTGGCTTGATCACAGGGCTAAATGTCTCATCATAGTCGACTCCGAATCTCTGGTTAAAGCCCCGAACAACCCATCGAGCTTTGTACCTGGTTAACTCACCTGTAGGGCCAAGTTTGTGTCTAAAAAGCTATTTTCCGGTTATGATATTTTGGTGAGGGGAGGAGGGTACTAATTCCCATGTGTCATTCTTGATCAATGCATTAAATTCCTCACACATAGCATTGTGCCAATAAGGGTCTTTGAGAGCACTACGGTAGGTGAGCGGGAGAGGAGAGATGGGAACAGTGGTGTTGAGGTTGAGGATTTGTTTGGGACAGGTTATGCCAGTTTTGGAACGCGTGACCATAGGGTGCTGATTTGTGGTAA